CTTCCCTCCGGTGGACTTGCGAGCAGTTTGCTTAGTACGAGCCATTAATTATTTTGAACAAAAAATGGATGTTGAATCTAGAAAATTTTTATGTGTAGAATGCTGGGAATTGAGGTGATGGTTTCGTTAAACAATGGGGGATTTATATACAGAAATGGAGGCGCGGGAGGAGAAAATTTCAGAGGTGATTTGAATTTGGGGGATTCCGAGGGCGGTTGATTGAGGAAATGAATGGCTGAGATTACAGGAAAGAGGCAAGTTCAGATTGTGATCCCGTTAGGGGTCAATAAGCCAATGGTCACTTGCCACGTCACTTTGCGAATTGTGAGATCTATGTCAGCGTTTTGCATCTCGAATTGTGCGATTTTTTTCAATTTTCCCGCCTCGGCGAAATCACACCCTCCAATTTCAGCCATTTTCCATTATTTTTAAAATGTATTTTTTTCCCGCATATTTTTCACCATACATTCTTCAATAAAATAATATTACAAATAAATTTTCTTATCTTTTAATCATACATTCTTCATCAAATTACTGTTTCAAAATGCATTTTTGAACAAAAAATGGACTTAAACAGGCTCTCAAATTTGAGAATTATTTTAGGCCCTGTTTGGAAGGGATTAGAATTTTTTACAGTAAATCAATTCTCATTTTCCATCATATTAATATTTTTTTCTTTTTCAACCACACATTTCTCATCATATCACTATTCAAAATCAATTCTTCCTCCAAACAAGCTCTTAGTTGTTTTTTGATCGAAAGTTTTTGTGCAATTTTTTATTTTAGATATATTAAAAATTTAAGTTAAACAAGTTCTAAGAACTATTTTTAGTTGTTTTTACATTGAAGAGAGTTTAGCCTCCATTTGTTTCTCATTTTTCATCCATAAAATGAAAAATATGATCGTTATTCATCACATCAAGTCATTAATTTTGAATTTCTATTTCTTGTGTGGGACCCAATAACAACTATATTTTTTATTTTCATTCTACAATAATGAGAATCAAACGGACCCTACTGTGTAATTTTTTAATTTAGATATGTTAGTAAATTTATAAGGTTAATATTTTTTATATAAGTCAAACAAGTTGTATACAATTGTAAACAAATTAGTCCCAACTATGGCAGCTCAAACTCAATGACAGCCCAAAAATTCTAGGGTTGCGTTTTGATAAAATTGCCAGAAATTATGTTTTTCAGTTTTAGGGT